ATTTTATTCATTTATTTGAGAGAGAGAGAGTGCACAAGCAGGGGGAGGGGCAGAGGGAGAGGGGAAGCGGGCTCCCCACTGAGCAGGGAGCCTGATTGGGGGGGGCCTGATCCCAGAATCCTGGGATCATGACCTGAGCCCGAAGGCAGACACTTAATTGACTGAGCCACCCAGGTACCCCTCCAATGCAAATTCTTATATTTTCTGGGAATTTCCGTGAAGTTCATATTTTATAGGTACAAAAGCTACCCTTTTGAAATCAAATCTATTATACTTTGCCACACACAGAGCTTCATTCTAAATCACAAATCTTGTCACTTTGCTGCTCAAAACTCTTCAATGGCTCCCCATTGCTCGAGGGATAGTATAGAAGACAAGGCTCTCCATGATGTGGACCACTTAACTTCCTGCTCTCAGCTTACCACTCAGCATTCTGCCTCCAAGCTCCAAATATTCTGAACTACTTGTGATTCCGACACATATTTTCTATTATTTTTGATTCTCTGGTTATGCCATGCTCTTTTGCCTATGTAGGCAACATGGTGAAGTGTGAAGATCAGAGTTTCTGGGCCCCACTATTTTTATTCAAATCCTGACTCTATCACTTATAGCTCCATGACTGGGAAAACTATCAACCCATTTGTCCCCAGTTTCCACCCACAGAAAATGGAGAATTTTATGGATATTGCATCTTCCTTATGAAGTTGCTACATGAGATGACATGTGTAAACAGTCCCAGTTCAGTCTGACAGAGAGTAAATATAAAATGCATACTTATTAAATTATCTAATAAATTTTAAAAACACATCAATTTAAAAAGTGCAGAGAATGTTTCTTTTACCTAATGTCTGTGTGTTCCATGTGGCATAAAATCCACCATTTTGCACCGAATGGTCTGAGTTAAAAATCACCACCAGCTGGTTGGAACCAGACTGGATTGTCCCGGGGTTTGAACTTCCACAGTATTGTCCTATTATGGGTGATCCAGGAGAACCACCATTCCTGACAGTGACAGAGTCCCAAACACAGGTTGCATGGGCTTCAATATCAAAGTCACTAAATGTAAGCTGCAGGAGAAAAAAAGAAATAATGAGGTGCTCTGAGTTGTAAGTGAGATTAGCTACCTAAAGTTAGATAAGGTCCTCACAAACCCTTTTATTTTGTTTTAATTTATATAATTTTATATTTATGTCTCTTATTTAACTCTACCCTGCCCTCCTCTCTTTTTCCTTATTGGGGGTTCTATTGGAAATTTAGAGAGGGGATATTTCTCCTGGAACTGGAGTCAGTAGGGGGACCTCTTCAGTCCAGTGGGCTGGGATGGCAACTCATATCAAGAATGTGATTACACTTCTCTCCTGGATGGGAATGTCTTTTGTATATCTATCTATATCTATCTATCTATCTATCTATCTATCTATCTATCTATCTATCTATCTATCTAGATCTTCTCCTATGCTTGCAAAAGAGATTTCCTCAGTCACTGGATACTTGCAGATGTCTGTACTCTAATGAGATTTTGGGGAGAAAATGAACTGATTGCAGAATCAAAGCCTATTCTAATTGCTTGCTTATTAAAAGAACCCTTTTTCCACACAGGACATGGTATTTTTGTTCTAGAACAAAAGCAGAACTCACAGTGATGGTATGGCCTTCTGGGGCTTCCAACAACCAGGAACAGTGGGTCAGGCTGTCATAAGAGGCTGGATAGTTGGGGCTTGTGATCACTCCACTCTCACCCAGCTGTATTCCACCACAGTCTGAAATTAGATTTGTAAACTTCTAAATAAGATATAAGAAAACAAACAAACAGACAAACAAAAAACCTCTGCAAAGCCAAAGGAAGTAGGTCTTACAGCCATCATACTTTATGATTTTAAAAAAGCAATCAGTGAAAAAATAGATTAAAGTGGATAAAGGCAAAGTAAAACTGGGTAGAAGATTAGAAATAAACAGAATCTCATATAGTGTGAATTAAAAAGAATCACACAGGGAAGATAGGATCATGTTTAGGACAGAGGAGAAGGAAGATAATCTCTACCACAAATGGAGAATAATTAGATGTGCATATAACTGACACTGTGACTAGGGGCAAAGTAAATAACACTGCCTTTCTTGGAAAAAAAAAAAAAAAAACAGGCCAGTAAAAATAAATACAAACTTGAAGAATATGATCTATACCATAACTAAAGAATTTGTCATTTGATGAGAAGCACTTATGTCTGTAGTCAGCTATCAAAGGACACTTTAGCATAGCAAGTTGAAGAACAGATATATCTTTAAAGCATAAAGATTGTCTGATTTCCTACATGAATAATACTGCTTCCTGAAACCTGGCTCTCTTCTTTCAATCCAATAAAGAAAAATCAACTGGCAAGACGGTTGATCAGTCTTACTCCCTCTCCAAATCAACCATTTGATTATAACACAAAGAAATGTCAGATAAAACTATAACGAAAACATATATTGATTCTTAGCCAAACTTCATAGAAAAAAGGAGGCTTTCCAAAATCTAAAAAAAATAATTATGTTCTGAGGGGTAATCTCAAACTGAGAATATGTCAGTCTGAAAGGATCTAGAACCAAGATGTGGGCCCCAGAGGTCAGGGTCTGAGGTCTTGATGACCATGCAGGAGAACATATGGCCTTGGATTGGCACAAAAGGAAGGGATGGAGTTGAGACTTCTACATAATGTTGAGAGTCTAAAAGAACTGTCATATTAGTGAAAGGGACTAGAAAAATTCTGATGCTCCAGAGAAACAGCAAAGAGCAGTGCTGTCTGTCTTGGACTCCATTTTCAGAAAAAAACTGAATGTCACAGATACAAATCCAAAACAAAACATGAGCAAATAATACCTAGTAATATGTTCAAAACACACAGCATAACCAAGTAGGGTTTATCCTGGAAATTAAAAGATGGCTTAACAAGAGAAAAGTCTTTCAATATATAATTTATCTTATTAATATATTAAAGGAGTAAAACAATCATCTCAACTGATGGAGAGAAATCATTTGATATAATCTTACATCCATTCAGAATAAAAAAAATTGTACACTAACAATTGAAGGGACTTTCTTTGATAAGAAGTATTTATTGAAAACCCTAAGAGAAATCAATATATTTGACAATGAAGGGTCACAGGCATTCACATGAAGGTCATCTCTTCCATTTAACATGACAGTGGCCTAGCCAGTGAAATAAGACAAGAAAAAGAAATGAAATTTTGAGGCTGAAAGAAAAAAAATATTATCATTTGCAGAAGATAGGATTGTTTATACAGAAAAACCAAAGATAATCTACAGACAAAATACCAAAACTAATAAGAGTATAGCAAAATCTCTGGGCTAGAGGTAAATGTATAAAAATTTAAAAATTCCTGGATATCGGCAACACCAATTAGAAGGTGTAATTTAGAACACCTCCTTCACATTAGCAACAAATTTAATAGCTACCTAGAAGTGAATCTCACAAAATACATGTGAGATCTTTATGGAAAAAAATTATCATCTATGATATTTCCAGACTTTGAGCATTTAGTGACAAGTCTTACCTGTAAAAGAATACTCCGCATGGAATCCAACATGTTCTACATGTTCATTGGTGACAAAGTGTATCCATACTTGAGGATAAGGTGTAACCAGTGGCACTGTAGGTTTTGAAGGTCCACAAAGTCTCCACATCAGAGGCCCATCAGCATTACCTGAACAAAATAACACACCAAATGCCATTATTTATATAGCTTTTGAGAAATATATTCAATGAATTCAGTAGGAACAAATAATAAAGAACATTTCAAGGTATTTATTGACGCACATTGAAATTCTGATTTAGTAGGAGATGTTTCACAAAGTTCCTTTTTATCTTTGTCAACTGCAAAAGAAAGAGTTCCTCCAACAGGGTAAAAAAAAAAACAAACAAAAAATCCCCATGCTTTTTTAGTATAGGCACCTCTCTCTATTGTGGGTGCCACTTTGTTCCAATTTTTATTTTCATAATTATTTTAGCATACCTAAACAGAGATAAAATTAATTTAAAAAAACACTTGGATGTGCCTTTTTTTAGGGAGTAAAAAATATAATGCCAACAGTGACAAAATATATCAAGATAAAAGTGATAATTATCTAAAATTTTAATGATTTCTTCACTGAATTTAATTAAAATGAATAGGATATTCAGTACTTAGGCTAAGAATTATCAGATTTGGAGCTGAGTATTTTTATGAAGATTACTTTTCACAGTAATTTGATCAACCTTTATTGAACACCTACAAGAGCTCACAATTAATCTGCTCTTTATTTATTCTGTCAGACTAACATCATTGATTTTATAAGTCAATAAAATATAGTACTTTAACTCTCTCTGAAATGGGGGAATAGGGAGAAGATTGCATTTAACTGAATGAAATTTGATATACAGCTGCTCGGCTTAATTCAATAAGCCAATGTTTTGGGGTTTTTTTAATTGAAATTCAAGTTAGTTAACAAATAGTGTAGTACTGGTTTCAGGAGTAGAATTTAGAGATTCAGCAGTTGCATATAATACCCAGTGCTCTTAACATCAAGTGCCCTCCTTAATGCCCATCACCCTTTTTAGCCCATCCCTCATCCCACCCCCCCCCCAGCAAACTTCAGTTTACTCTCTGTAGTTAACAGTCTCTTATGGTTTGCCTCCCTCTCTGTTTTTATCTTATATTCTTTTTCCTTCCCTTCCCCTATGTTCATCTGTTTTGTTTCTTAAATTCCACATATGAGTGAAATCATGACATTTGTCTTTCTCTGAATGAGTTATATCCCTTAGCATAATACACTCTAGTTTCATCCACATTTTGCAAATGGCAAGATTTCATTCTTTTTGGTGGCCAAGTAATATTCCATTGTATATATATCCTACATCTTCTTTATCCATTCATCAGTCGATGGACATTTTAAGCCAGTGGTTTTGAACCAGGTGGCAGTCATAAGGGTTTATCAGAATCACATGGAGAACATTCTCAAACTACAACTTCCATTTCCTTCGTAAGTCTTCTTTAGATTCATCTACTTAGGAGGGCCCACATGCTTCTCCTGCTGATTCCCTTGATCTGTGACCACAGACTTTATCAAATTCTCCTTGAAAATTCTGTCCACCATGTTCTCAAAGTCAGCATTGATTTCAATAGCTGCCCTAGAACATTGTCACCAATGTTAGTTACATTGGTGTAATATTGCCACTCACTGTGTTAGTTTCTCCTGCTTTCAGCCTCCTTTAAATTAAAGTTTTTCAGCTACATGGAACTCAGTGAACCTTAAATAGCACAGATGACCTACAATGTTGTTACTTCTCTTTTTCAAACCAGGAAAAGAGTGCCAATGTAACAATGGAGGCAATTTGATGGATTGCCCACAACTCAAGACTCAATTACAAGAAAGAACTAAAATGGATTCATCTTTTATGAAGGGAGATTTTTTTTAAAAAATTCTTAAGAGAACTATGGTTTACCAAGCACACCTCAGTCCATTTCTATCATGAAAACAAAGGCAAACTTGACTCTTTTGGGGATAATTCCCCAAGTAGCTTCCACGTTCTCTTCCATCTGTTACATTGCAAACTTCTTTTGATTTCTAAGTAGAATCCCTGTAAATTCAGGAAATCACTGATACAATTCTGACCACGCTAATTTCCAGTCTGTGATGAAAGAAGTCTTGAGTAGTAAAAGATCACTGAAGGGACCACGTGAACTCATCAAGAGAATACAGATGAGGGGCACCTGGATGGCACAGTCAGTTAAGTGTCCGACTCTTGGTTTCGGCTCAGGTCATGGTCTCAGGGTCATAGAATCGAGCCCTGTGTCAGGATCCGTGCTCAGCATGGAGTCTGCTTAGGATTCTCTCTCTCTCTCTCTCCCTCTCTCCCTCTGTCCCTCGTGACCACGTGCTCTCTCACTCTCTCTCTCAAATAAATAAATCTTTAAAAAAAGAGAGAGAACACAGATAAGCTGAATCTCTCTTGGTAAGCCTCATCTTAATTGAAACATAGAGTCTACTTGCAAACTCTGATCCATCTCGTTCACCGTTCATAGGGCATGTTACCTCAGCTGGGTACAAACAGAAATATAGCTTTTTCTGACCAAAGTTCTTTAGGACTCTATGTACATATATTATAGCCACATGAGTCCCTTCATTATTGGTGGCCTCCAGGTATAAGAACAATACTGTGGATAAGTAAAATAGAACAAGTTCCTTGATTGAACTCACTTGCTCGGAACTCAAGGACATCAAACTGACAGTCTTGGTGACTTTCCAGGTAAAAATCCTCAAACTGAATGTACATAGATGAATTTCCCTGATTTGGATTGCTGAGCGTCCATTCACAGTTTAAGTTTCTTGAGTAATTACTGACTCCATTATAGCCAGGAGAAGTAAAGTTTCCTTCAGGGAAATGTGTAAGGGACCCACCACACACTAAGAAAACAAAAGACAACAGAGAAGTAAGAGTGAAATTCACGCCATAACAGAACATACAAGTAATGCAATAACAACTAAAATAACAACAGCAAGATTTTTATTGCTTTGATTTGTTTTTCTAAGTGAAGTTAAGATTGTGGGTGAAGGGCTGGCTTATGCATGCAGACTACGGAGGAAATTTCTGTGAGTTTGGAAATATGTATAAAAATAAACAGCTTCTTTATTTTCCTGTAGGGTAGATTAGGTGGATTTAGGGGTTTGCACCAGTTTCTCCCAACTTAAGCCTATTGTTCATTAATATTTAATTTAGAGAAATAGCTAACTTCCAGTGGTGGCCTCAGTGGCTTCTCATTAGCAATTCTCCACTTGACCCAAGAATTTAATTGGATCAAACAGATAACACAACACCAGAGTGCCAATGAACTTGCCCCTTTTCATATGGTAATGAATGTTCCTTGTATCAATGAAAAAACTTAAAGGTTTTTTAAATATTCAGTTCCACTCCTTCTAAAATTTAAAACTCTTAGGTAATGGCACCAATCCAGAAAATAAGAGAATATTTAGACCAGAAAGGCCATCTTACTTAACTTTTAAATACTCTGCATCAAATGTGAACCCTCATTCATTTACACTGGAAAAATATGTATATGGATGGATGACTAAGAAACAATAAAATCTGGCTATCTTCAATTAAATGAGTTACTTTTGGGGAGTCAGTTACCTTCTAAGTTGAAGATCTCATTAAGCACAAAATAACTGACCAAAGACTATGGAATGGGCAACCAAAATAATGGCAGCACTGCATGGAATTGAGCTAGAAGCTCTCCCAAAAGCATTTTTAGAAGTTTTTAACTCACAATAGCAGCTTTCTTTCCGAACCCGGAACATTTTTTTTTTCCTATCTGGGATGGGTTTTCTACCTGGTTATATATGTTTGCTTTATGTAGAAGGTCCCAGGTGTAATTCTGATCTCTGAAGGGAAATAGATGGCTCCTTGCTGTTGGTCGTAGCTGTGGGACCCCTGCAGTGCCCACGATTATAACATCTTCCATTACCTGCGTCTTCGCTGGATGTGTAGGAAGCACTGAAGCCTCCATATGGCCTGGATCCATCAGTGAAAAACACGACTTTCATTGTATTTCCTGAAGATCTGATCGCGTCGCTTACGTTCACATTACTACACAGTTTCTCTAGCTGGGGTGAGTTACTTCTAATGCCATTGAATATCTGTTGGAAAAACAGTTTAACCTTTAGTCCCACTGTCCATCTGACAGAGGGTTTCCTAGAAGATTATATTCACAGCCCGGATACACTTCCTTATAAGGAAACTGTGCTAAAATGAATTACCTAACAGTATGTGCTCCTTGCTCGGTGCCACAAGCCCCTATATTACCCGGAGCACATTCTGTGGCCTCAGGGTCATTTCACTAAAATGAAAGTATTACAGTAATGCCCTCCTGCCATGTGGTGACAAATGAAAAACTGCAGTACCGTCTGCAACTGGAAACCATGCTCAAAATGTAAATTAGACAGGCCAACACACTTACATCTTAGTTCACAGAGCTCACTGAAGGACCATTTTTCATAACAATGTATCGGCACCTTTGATATTTGGAATGAAGGCTTAAATATTAGTCTCTGATGACTAAAAGCATATAGTAACTCAAATATTTTAAAATGCCTTGAAAAGTAGCTTTAAAAAACCAATCTCAATATCAATATAATAGTTCTTTCCTAAGTACTTATAGATCCAAAGTCTCAATTTTCTTATTAGTTTGAATTTTTAAAAAAATGGGTTAGAGTAGTGCTGGCTCCAAAATATTAAACAATAATTCTAGTTATGCACATAGTTATAATAGTTGCAAAGTATTATTCCACTTTGGTGCAAAACCAAGGGAGTTTCAGCATGCCTGGTTGTCACAGTTCAGGAAAGATCCAGAAGTAACTAAACAATAATTGACTGATTGAGTAATTCCTCTTTTTAAAAAAGGATTTGAATCACTCACGATTAGAAATAATGATTCCGAGTCTAACACTAAGAGATATGAAGGAGAAGAATGCACTCCATAACAAAGATGTGAGCTTTTTAATTTACTATAATTGATCATTAAATTGAGCTCTGTGAGGGCTTCTGGTTTCAAGTGTCGTCTGTCTCACAGGACCAGACACAGTGTTTCCTATCACTTACTGAGCACCAACAAAATGACAGGCTTTGCTAATAGCCTACTTGTATTACTTTATTCAATTAGCACAATACCCTCTCAGACACATAATATTATCCGTGTTTTCCAGATTAAGACAGTAGAATTCAGAAAGGTTATACAATTTGCTTCAGTTCAAAGAACTAGTGATAATAAAATTAAATTTAAAATCTGATTCCAGGGGCGTCTGGGTGGCTCAGTCGTTAAGTGTCTACCTTTGGCTCAGGTCATGATCCCGGGGGGATTGAGCCCCACACTCAGCTCCCTGCTCAGCGGGAAGCCTGCTTCTCCCTCTCCCACTCCCCCGCTTGTGTTTCTGCTCTCACTCTCTCTCTGTCAAATAAATAAATTAAATATTAAAAAAAAAATCTGATTCCAAGCCATGAAGTAATGTATAAGGAAATAGAAGATGACAAAATTTCAATAATACTGAAAACAGGAATGGGCAACATATTGCCAGAATCAAAAGGGATTATCAGCAACTGCAGGCTAATGGAACATGTCAGAAACCCTGATCAATGGCGGTTATCCTTGCACCAGTGTCTGCCCTGAGCTTAGAATCACAATGACTAACAATTGTTCAGACAGCCGTTTATCACATGAACTCCTGCTTTTTGAGGCAACCAAAGTGCTATTTCCACTTTCCTCCTCCACTCATGTTTGTACTCAGAAACTACAACTCCCAGAAAACAATGGGATAGGAAGTAGGCATTTGAGATTCAGGACAAGCTCTGAAATTTGCTACATGCAGGAATAAAATCAGGCATATATCCCACCGTAGTGCATGCTGGAGGGTGTACCTTTGCCTCTTCTCCTTCTGGACAGAGTCCGATAAGTAGCTAGGTTTGCAGGAATTGTATGCTCAGACAGCTGGAGAAGGTATTAATCTAGAGGCAGTGCACTTAAAGCTGCCTTCACTCAACCTATAGATCTCAGGAAGTTTCCCTTCTCTCTCCCTCCCTTCCTCTTTTCTTTTCTCTTCTCTTCTTTTCTTTCTTTTTTATCTCTCTCTCTTCATGTCTCTCTGTTTCTTTCTGCCTCTTTCTCTTTTTCCTTCTTTCTCTCTTTCTCCACCCCCCCACTCTGCTTTTTTGTGAGAAGTTTTCAGAGGGATGAAGTGCGGACAAAGGGCAAGCCACATCCCCTTATTTACAGCAGAGTGAAGAAGAAACAAAACGTTGAACCTATAAAAATATATTTCAAAGAAAAAGAATGTGGACATGATATTAAAGATTCATAAAAGAAATTTATTGTTAGAGCTTTAGCCTCCCCAGGAGAAAAGGCCTGTAGATAGGACATTTGTAGTTTCTCCTAATTAAATGGTCAAGTATCCCCAACCCAGTGAAGACCATAAGTTGACAATCCCATGCACACAGAGCTTCCAAGCAGCATTTTAGTACTTCATTCTTAAATATGAATAAACAGCCAAGGGTCATTAGACATTTAAGGAAATGTCTAATGTAAAAGGCAGAGACCAATCAATATACATAGACAGGAAACAGGAAACTGAAGGAAATGGATCTCAAAAGAAGCAACATAAAACTTCAAAATTATGATTAATATATTTATATACATATGTGAATATATCAAATACATGATATTTTAATATATATAGTATATAAGAACAATGGTAAAATAAGGATAATTCCAGGTATACATCTTCTCATAAACCTTATCATCCATGCCCACTTCCTTATGGAAATACAAGAACAAATGCCTCACCAGAAAAGGAAATGAACCAAGACAGGACAATGCACCTGTCATGGAGTCAGGTGTCCAGCCCAGGGGAGGAATGAAGGAGCGTGCAAAGTTGACGGGGAAGGGAATGCCCCACATGACAGTGGGCATCACGCTTGCAGCTGATGGAAAAGGGCTCAAGGAAGGGTACTGCTAAGGAAAATGAAGGAACTGGTAGATGTACTTTACAAGGTGGGGACGTACCCCTGGAGTGAAAGCGTGTGGAAGAATTAATGATACGTGCATAAAAAAACTCAATGTAGAAAAGGACATGATGATTGTTATTAATCAGAAAAACAAAAGCAAACGCTACCATAGCATGCTACGTGGTGAGGTGGGGAATGACAGCTGTGTAATCATGGTAATGTAAACAATGAAGAGCAATTTAAACAAAATCTGTGACGTATGTATTTTGGGAGGAAGTTGGGGGATTCTGAGCTGTGCGTAGCCCTGTGGTGCGTATGTGGTGGGGGTGGCTTGTGAAGAGAGCTACACCCTCATCTCTCATAGTTGCACGTGGGTAGATGATGTCTAAGACCAAAAAATAAAGAAGTAGCAGAATAGGAATATTATTTTGAAATAATGACAGACACTCCACAAGAAGTAGCTAAAAGAGTTGAAAGTAAATGCCTTTGGCGTCTATGATTCAGAGATGGGAAAATGACAAGTAAGACGTGATTTAAAATGTGTGGTCGTCGCTGTAAATTTTATTTTATTATTTGAGTTCTGAAACTATGACTGTTCATATTATCTTTCCTATAGGGCATGTGAAAATTCTACTGGTAAGATTCCTCATAATCATTATATTCAATGCGATTTCAATTATGGAAAGAATTTCAAAGGGAAATAATCGGTTGTATACATCAAAATTTTAGCAATGGGTAAGTAGAATTTCAAATATTTTTTATATTTTTTATTTTGTGAACTCTCCAAAATCTGTTCGATAGGCATCCATTATGTTTATAATCAGAAAAATAGATAAAAATTAGTGTGCAAATGAATTTATGCCACATTATTGCAATTGCATAATATATTCATTGCCAAGGAAAGATAAGAAAATGTATCAAACTATGGTATACTGGGAGTGGTTAAGTTTTTTCTACTTCATCTTTGTCTCTATATATTCAATGGAGGGGGCCTGGGTGGCTCAGTCTGTTACACATCCAACTCTTGCTTTCGGCTCAGGTCATGATCTCAGATACCATACATCTATAGATATATCTTATATACATATATCTGTATCTATATATATAATACCTTCAGGTATTAGAACTTGGGGGCAAATTGTGAAGTTTGAATATGGTCATTTTAGGGCAATACAAAGTATTACACTAACATACAAAGATGTTTTGTTTTTTGAAATTCACTACCCAACAGGAGACAATTAAATTGAAAACAAAAGGGTCTTTTTTTTTTTTTTTTAAGATTTTATTTATTTATTTGCCACAGAGAGAGAGAGAGAGAGAGAGCACAAGCAGGGGGAGAGGCAGAGGCAGAGGGAGAAGCAGGCTCCCCGCCGAGCAGGGAGCCCGATGTGGGGCTCCATCCCAGGACCCTGGGATCATGACCTGAGCCGAAGGCAGACATTTAACCGACTGAGCCACCCAGGTGCCCCAAAAGTGTCTTGTTTTTAAAACAGGATAATGAGGGACACCTGGGTGGCTCATTCATTAAGCATCTGCCTTCAGCTCAGGTCGTGGTCCCAGAGTTCTGGGATGGAGCCCCACATCTGCTTCTCCCTCTCCCTCTGCCCCAGCCCCTGCTCGTGCTCTCTCTTCCTCACTCTCTCTCAGATAGATAAATAAAAATCTTTAAAAAAAAAAAAAAGGATAATGATAGTACTTCTGCTATTCACTCATTCAATTATTAGTGTTTCTACTGGGGATTCAGCAGTGAATGAAACGCAGAGCATGTCCTAATGGAGCTTACATTCTGGTGGTGGGAGCAGACAAGACACAGACAAACAAATAAATACATGGGATGTCAGTTGGTGTGAAGGGCCGTGAAAGCAATAATGCAGGGAACAGGATGGGTCAGGGTGGAATCTATTTAACGTAGCGTCTCAGGTACCAGGTCATTTGAAGAGCTGGGAATAAAGAGAGGGAGTGGACCAGGCGACCACTGGGGAGGTGCAGTCCAGAGGCCACAGGACAGGTGAAGTGGGTTTTCGCACATCTTAGCAGATTCAAGGACCCAAAAGGAAGCCAGTGAGACTGGATCCTAGTGAGCAAAAGAGCAGGGGAGTTTGAAACCAGATGCAGATACCGTAGGGCCAGCTGGGCCACTGTAAAGATTTGGGATTTCCCTCTGAGTGAGATGATGAGGCCAAGAGAGGATTTTCAAGGAGCAGCATGATGTGATTTACATTTAAACCCATCACGCTGGCCGCTGCACCCAGCAGGGGCACCGGGGTGGGGGTAGGGAGACCAGCCAGAAGTTGTTAAATTAAGTCTGAGCCAGCCGTGGTGGCGGTAGCAGTGGATCTGGTGAGAAGTAGTTAGATTCGGGATCTCTTTAAAGATCCAGCCAGTGGGACTTGATTATGGATGCAACATAAGGTGGGAGGGAATGAACTCCAAAACAGACATTGAGGTTTTTGACCCGAGCATCCGGAAGTTTGGAATTGTTATTGACTGAGGTGGCAAGGACGGAAGGAAGGCTGAGAAATACATTAATATTAATGTATAATTAATCCAGTATATATACATATATAGCTGTCATTTCAGTTACAATCTTCTTTCCCACTCACGGCTCTCCTTTGCTTTCCTTTGCTAAGGGAAGCTAAGAATGCTGACGGCATCTCTCAAAGCACTTGACCTTGGCAACACTGAGGGCAGGCAGCCCATGCTTTTCCAAAGGAGTCGCTCAGCACCTCTGGCAGAGAACAGTAACTATGCAGGACCACTCAACTGCTTAAAACTCTTGGTGGTGACTGTTCTGTGACTTTGGTCCTATTCAACTATGTGCTACCCACGGGCTTCACTTTCCTCCGTTTACCCACTTTTGCCATGGGTAATGATCATTTGCTCTCAAAATTTATCCCACCTATGACCCTGATGTATGTTGCGAAAACAAATAGGCTCTTAAAACAGGTTTTACAAATAACATGGCAGTTCACTGGGCTTTTGTTCTATCGAAAATACTTCAGATTTGTTTGAGGCATGGATGGGAATATTCCTGACCTAGTTTTCTGACTATGATTTATAGGTCAATAAACTCCTTCAACAATGGAATGTAATATCCCTGACTGCATAGGACACTTACCGTCACACGCTCGCTGCTGCAGGATGGACGAGCTTCCAGACTCAGGTTGTTAAAAGTCAGGGTGATCCGCCTTCCTTCTTGCACTGTGATCCTCCACTCACAGACCCGGCCATGAGGATTCGGGTTCGGGTAGTTGGGAGAGGTAAATGTTCCCGTAGGGCCCTGTAGATCCCCACCACACTCTGCAGGGGAAGAAACCCAAGAAAACTGCCAATCCAATCAAAATGACCCTTCCACAAGAAGTGTTCTCTAACGTATTTTCTTTACTATCACATTGGACAAAATTATTGCCCTTATTTATTGCTAGGTGTATATGAGGACTTACAGAGAATGTTTGTTTCCACTTCCTGTCTCTAATATTTAATATTTAATCCATGTTTCCATGGATGACAGTTCACTGGCAGCACTGTGTTATCATGGCCCAGAAATATGGGGTACCCATGGATGGAGTAATCTCAAGAGTCAGACGATGCAGGAGATGAGAGTAATTACCCAGTTTCTTCAGATAAGATCTGTATTTCACCAATGTCAGGGTATTTGGAATGCCGATTCTGACAGCTGTGGGGCTAATGCACTAGTGTGCTTAAGATGAGGAATGTGTACAGCTCTTGTCCCATAACATCATCCAAAGCACTTTCTTCGGTGGCCTGTATCACAGCTGTGGTGTGACTATTTGATTAAGGTCTGCCTCTCCACTAAAGTGTGAGGTCCAAGAAGACAGCGGTCATTTTGGTTCAACAACTACTGTACCACCAGTGCCCTGCAGAGTGTCTAGCCAAGGTAGGTGCTCAATAATATATAAATAGTTAACATATCAGTGAACTTACCTTCCATGCTGGATTCAAATTGGAGTCTGAATCCTGAGGCAGTAAGAGAGCCATCTGTGACAAACCTCACCAAAGCAACATTGCTAGAAGTGTCTATGCTGTCCGGAATGGTGTTTCCACAGTATCTGCCCAATAAACTTCCTGTGAGAGGCAAATAATTAAGTATGTCTATGTCCACGTGACTGATTTCATTTCACCTCTACTTGAGGTATTCTACAAGTACAAAGAAAATAATAAAAGACAAGACCCTGCCCACGAAGAAATGTTAACCTCTATTAAGAGAAGGAGGACAAACATGAACAAAATCAACATACTCATATAGATGAAGATGTGTAACAAAAGCTGCAACCAATTAGGGCAAGGACATCTCAGCACAATGAGGGACCTTATTTGGTTAAAGACATGGTTCCAGGCAACAGAGTGATGAGTGTCCAACTCACGTGATTTCTAGATACATTACCCTCTCTCTCCTTACTTGACAGGATGCTCCTCAAATAACTAACTGCATATGGCACTGGAAGGTCTCAACGGGAAGAGGATGCCTTCTCCATACAGTGCTCTCTCAGCATGATCTATAAGGACAAGCTATATAATGACACCTGGGGCTTTGAACACCCACTGTTTGTGAGTCGGACTCCAGGGAGAGAAAAGTTGACACTGCTCAGAGCTGACTGCACTTCTAGGCAAAGAACAGATGTCGTTTTACCTTTCTTGAAGTGAGGACACTTCAGAGGCTGAATGAGGAAAATAAACATCCCCAAAAGACAGCAGACATATTGCACTGACCAGAGGTATGGTTTTCCCAGATCTCCACAAAGTCTTTTTCACAGCCAGAGGAATTCTGAAGGTTAAAGTCTTCAAAATGGATGGTAAGATAGTGTCCTGAGGGACCCTCGAGATGCCACTCACAGAATAAATTGTCTCTATACGGAAGTGTTGGATATCCGCTTTCAATGACACCACTTTGCCCTGTCACTCTTCCCCCACAGTGGGCTGCAGAAAAGAGCAATATTCTGTTACAATATTTTTCTTCCCTTTTTTTTTAAATTTAATCAGCACATTCAGAAACTTTTAGGTGCCAATTAACATTTTAAAAATTCTGAAAATGTTTATTTAGTAGTGTTCCCCTTATTATTTGAAATCTACTATTGATGTAAAGAGAAATGATACCACAAGTCCAGTTCAATAATGGGAAATGGAAACTGAATGGCATATTTTGTAACATCACATTAATCCTCCTGGGACACCATGTAAGAGCTATTAGTTGCAAGGAAGTTTCCTTTCAAGAACCAATTGATAGACTGGTAGGGCCTGCCTACTACCCTGTGTCTGTGATTCTGAAGATGGAAGGCGGGCTTAGCTGGAAGGGGTGCAGTGGTGATTAGTGATGCCTGGCCTTCCTGGTTTAACTATCAAATGAACGTTTCATTGCAATAACTGGTATCTCGGGGCCTGGCAAACTACCACTCAATTCTTCCTTATCAGCTGGATGTGATAGATTGAATTATATACAGTTTGCCTCGGGCTATAAAACAACCTATGGTGTAGGTTTAATGTTGTTACCAGTAGGCTTTCCAACTTTTGACTGTATTAAATATGTTTGGTTAGTGTTCAGACCCACCAGATACTGAATTCTATGTAATTGTGACCATAAAACAATAAATCTTCAGGATGCATGTGTATTGCTCATTTTTTAAAGTAAGGAAATCAAAACACTGAGGAGACACACTTGTTTCTGTCTAGTGACTGATTTGGCACTAGAGACATAAGGGAAAAACATTATCCACTAATGATGAGTTCAAAGTTACCGTTCTGTATATAGCTATTTGATTATGTTTGAATAGTAAACCATTTTACTAGTTAAGGTGATACTATACAGATTTCATAATAAGAGAAAGAAACAAAAATTTGATTTAACTGAATATGTTTTCACAAACAAGTTAGGAAAAAATACAAAATATTCAAGTTTACTAAAAAGAGTGGTTTAAAATGGAAAGCAAAATAAAATGTTAAATTGATAAATGACTTTGGTTTTAAACATTTACATTCCTTACTTATTTCTATCACTAAAACAATCATTACAATTAGGCAGATAGAAAGACTTCTCTAAAAATGGTATGATTTTTTAAAGTTTTATTATAGTCTGTCATGACTTTCTTATTAAATTAAAAAAAAATGTTGTTACCTATAGCATACTTGATCTTGAACCCCACCTGAGTGGGGCTGTTGTCAGATCGGAATCTCAAATACATCACGTCTCCTGAGGACAACTGGCTCCTGGGCAAAGATCTCCCACAAACCTTGGAAAGTACTGGTGCATTTGAATCAGCCCCGTCTCTCAACTCAAGGTAATTGGATGTGCAGCTAAAGAGGAAAGAAAATTCCATTTAATATAAAAAAAGTCTGTCACTTTGACGTATTTTCAAAATAAAGACTTCACCAACTTTCTCCAAGAGCAATATTAATTAAATCATCATTTTTGTAGCAGAAGACACTACGACCATCGTTTTAAGTGGTGTGTCGCTTGAGAATGCTACATAATATTTTTCTAATCATAATATGTTCTTTCATTAGTGGCTCCAAAATGCAGGTGTTATATGTACCACATCAAAGAATGCTGGGGCGCCCGGGTGGCTCAGTCGTTAGACGTCTGCCTTCGGCTCAGGTCATGATCCCAGGGTACTGGGATCGAGCCCCACATCAGGCTCCCTGCTCAGCAGGAAGCCTGCTTCTGCCACTCCCACTCCCCCTGTTTGTGTTCCCTCTCTCGCTGTGTCTCTCTCTGTCAAATAAATAAATAAAAATCTTAAAAAAAAAAAAAAAGAATGTTTACTTGTCTTCCCTCCGCATTCGTTTGACAAATACACAAGTCATTCTCAAATTAGTGCCTAGGAATTTCAAAACAAGAAGTACTTTGTTTCATGTGATGATAGGGCACATCTCTTGTGACAAAGACAAATTCTCTCTTGACAGCCCTGCCACCCAGGCTAGTGGAGAGTCTCAGCTGGAATGTTCTGTGTCCATAAAAGTGAGCGAGTATTTACCCAGTATTTCTTAAGAAAGTCAATCAGCCATTTAATGCTCACTGAGTGGGACTGTGGCATTATATCAGGTGCCCGTAAATAGTAAGCAAAAGCTCTTGTACTAAGTTTTGTACCGTACACATATTCTTGCAAATGTATACATACTTTTGTTAAATGAAGAGAAAAATTCAGGGCTTTCTTTTCAGTCAGTATGGTTATTCTCTTTGTATTCAACGCAGTTAAGGCTTACTCCCTGGTTTGTAATCCCGTAAGAATTCTCATTAAAGAGAGGTTGGGAAATTGTACGGTACTTGCCTTAGTCCTTTCTCTGACACTGGTGACCCCTAGTGTCACGTAACACGAATTTCCATTTGTTAAACAGACACTTTATTATTTATGACATTGAGTATGAGGCTGGGAAAATAAATATTCATCTACCAGAGACACTATATTTTTCCTGTGGGAGGAAGAACGGATAACATAAATCTCGAACAGCTATCCTCAGTGTCTCTTGGAGGATGTGCGTGGTGTCAGGAGGGACAATGTCCGTGTACATAACCTGCTCAGCTAATTTGAGAGTGGCCGGCAGGCAATGTTTTCAGGCTCAAGGTGTAATGCGTGTCCCTTCCCCATTTTTTAGATTTCCTATGCTGAGAAAAGAAATTATTCTCAAACATGACAGCTAGAGAATACTAAGTCTGAGTAGGAGAAAAAGGAAATGGAAGTGACCTACTTGGGTGTTTCTCCAATATTGAACTGATCTTCAAACTGCAGCCTTATGAGCTTTCCAGGAGGAGCAGCTAGGAGCCAAGTGCAATCAGCGTGCTGGGGGTAATTGTCAGGGTGGCCGGGGGAGGTCACATACCCCGCAGAATCCACATCGTGGATGTAGATATTGCCCCCACAGGCTGGTGAGAAACACAGTGAAATCAATCGATAGTCTGGGAAAGAGGATGCAATGCCACTATCTTTTTTTTTTTTTTTGCACTGTCTTATGTCTTTTTTTTTTTTTAAATTGAAATATAGTCGACACTCAATGCCACACTAGTTTCAGGCATACAACATAGTGATTTGACAAGTCTACATGATTTCATGTATATGTGGAATCTAAAAAACACAAACACACAAAAAGCAGAAACAGACCCATAAATACAGAGGACACACTAGGGGTTGCCAAAGGGGAGGCGAGTGGGGGGACGGGCCAGATGGGTGAAGGGAAGTGGGAGGTCCAGGCTTCCAGTTAGGAAGGAATGAGTCATGGGGATAAAAGGTACAGCATGGGAATACAGCCAAGCGTATTGTAAGAGCCTTGTATGGAGCAGATGGTGATTACACCTGTGGTGAGCACAGCATCACGTCTAGACTTCCCACTGGCATTTTTTAAAGTCTCTTTATCTGTATTTCCAACCTCAATTTCCTTTCATCTGGATTTACCCTCATTCTCTTTTTAAGCAAATAGATTCTGAATTTGCTATCAGGGGAGCTACCAAGTGTGTCACTTTCTAATTTGCCCAACTGTAAATTCTCTTAGAAAATTTCTCTCTTCCTTAAAGCCAACAAAATGCTTCTGGTGCACAGTGCATGCAGCAGAACATCATGGAAGCATTAGTATACATTTGCCACAGAGATAAGCACATGAATGCAGTAGCGCTTATAACTTCCCACTGACTGGGCAGTTCAATAGAAAGATGCGGAGCTGGGATCTTGAGGTTTAAAAGACTAAGCAGATATATATTTGCACAACTCTGTGGGCATTCGCTCATTATGTTTCTTCAGGATTGAGATGCATTTGAAGAGTAAGAGATAACCGGGATGAGAGAATTTATTAGCCAGTTTCTGGGAGAAGATAAATGGGTTTTTTACACTTCTTTTCTAAAAAACCAAAGTATGTGAAAATACAATCCAGGCCAGAGTAAACTGGGTGCTTACAACACCAATGAAATGAACCTATAAGTTAGCCTCACAGATACATGGATCTTGACATTTATTTCTGCTGTCATTCAGTCACTTATGGTCCTGAATTTTGCCATTACCCAGAATGTTTCTTGTCTCTGAACCCCTAAACTGCAGACTCTTCTGACTGCCTTTAACTCCCTTGCTCTTGGCCCTTCCTTTAGACTCACCTTGCAAAAAAACCCAGTATCAAGATTGTATGCTATTCAAACCATTTGCAGAAATCAAGGCCTCCAAACACGTGCCTCCACTCTCAACACTGCAAGCAACCCTACTTTCTCACAGAAATATAACAGCTCTGTGAGACTTGACTCTCTGCCCTCAACCCTTATTCCCCCCACTCTTTCTGGAGCCTCACCACACCACTGAAGGAGTTCTCCTTCAGAGTACGATGGAAGAAATCAGATGAGGACACTCCCTCAATTGGTTACCGCCCTTAAGAAATGTATCCGCATCTCTGCCTCCTTTGTCTTCCCCTGCACACCGTCTTCCTGTACATCGGGTCGGCCTCCCACTCCACTGTCTCCTCAGGGACCGTGCTCTATGGAGGCCCTTCCCTTACCCTGTGTGCTCTCTCTCTCTCTCTCCCTCTCTCTCAATCCTGGCCCCCTCTCCTCCCCCACTCTCGCCTTGCTCCTCACATCCTCCCACTCATCACATGCTCAAGTCAGATACACTCACCTTCTCTGCTCTCACTGCCCTCTTTCCTCCTTCCCCCTTCACTTTTCAACCCCACCAAAGCACTCTGGTTGCCTCACAGTCCTGTACCCAAGCATCTATTTCATCTTTATTTTATGTCCACAGCATTTAATCTAGTTGATCACATCTCTCTCTCCTTTCAATTTTTGTCCCCCAGCTGTTTGGACACTGAGCTCCTCCTCCTTTTATCTCACACCATTCCTCCTTTGGTCCCTGGGCGCCTCTTTCCAGGTGTTTTCCAGACACTGGAAGTTTGTAACTCTTCATCCCCACCACCTATTTCACCCATCCCCCTCCCACCCCTTCCCCTTTGGCAACCACCAGTTGGTTCTCTATATTTAAGAGTCTGTTTGTTTGTTTTTTAGATTCCACATATAAGTGAAATCAAATGGTATTTGTCTTTCTATGACTGGCTTATTTCACTTAGCAGAATAATCTCTAGGTCCATCCATGTTGTCCCAAATGGCAAGAGTTCACTCTGTTTTCAAGGCTGAATTGTGTATATATATACCACATCTTCTTTATCCACTCATCTGTGAATGGACAATAGGTTTTGAAATCAAAAGAACTTTAAGTCTAATAGTAAAGGCAGAAAGATGGGGAGCAGGTAATGGCCATACCATTCTTATACAAAAAGAGGGTCCACAAAGGAATAAAAGAATCGTAGCGTTTATAAATAAACCCGTAGTGTACCTGAATTATCACCAAATATTGACTTTAAAAATGTAATTTAAGACTGTAACTCAAGATTCTATCATGGGAAAGTAGAGTTCTGTGGGACCAGCTGATGTCTACTCACTAGACATAAGGCACTGTTACTCTATGAAGCCTCAGTGCCCAGTGACATTCTGCCCACGTAGGATTCAGCAGCCCAGCTCAGCAGATCTCGAGATAGAGAGGGGTAACAAACTCTCAACCTATAAAGTATTGGTGCTGGTGTTCACAGAGCTGTCTTTAAAGGCTCCTTCCAAGTGCCAGAGCTGTATGTAGTGGGAAGTAACAGAAGTACATTCCCAGTAATCATGGAACCTACCCAAGCTATTAGATGATCTTCTGTGTCATTTGGTAGACCCTAATTTCTTCTCCTCTTCCAGAATAAACAAATTATGCTGACCTTTTAAAATCTCCTATTTCTTCTCCTCTTCCAGAATAAACAAATTATGCTGACATTTTAAAATCTCATATTTTAGAGAATATGCAGTAAAATATAGATATACAAATTAGATTATTTTTATTAGATTATATTAGATTTTATATAGATATATAAAATTTAGATTAATATGTTTTTTAAAATATACTCAGGAATCTGGGATTGTGGTCTTATGATTATCCTGAAATCCATATTATCTAATTTGGGGGGGAAAGCAAAGATTTATTCTCTGCTAACATTACTCTCTCTTTTGAAACTATGCTTATTTACTTATTTATTCAATTAAACATTATATAAAAATAAATGTCATAAAATTAAGTCATTACAGCAGAATTAAATATAATTTTAATCAAGTGTAATTAAGCAAAGGTAATTAAAGATCACCACTGTAATATATAATTAAGTGGGTAATAATAGAATCAGAGGAATATGTGTTCATTTTAAAAGAAAGCATACAAATGATTATAAAACAATGTAATTATCATTCTTACAATGTTTCCATAACTGAATGTAACTTATAATTAGATATGGTATAATAGAAAGGACTAAGAAATTTCAGGGTATCTGTAAGATCAGTTTAATTTATACTTATGGAGAATTTTACTTTATTCATTCTCTTGATAAGTACGCTTGGAAAAAATCTAAGCCTCATTTTACTTATCTGTAGAATTGAAATGATACCTTCCTTAAAAAGTAGCCATGATGAGATACTGAATGTATCAAGAATATAGTAAAGTACCTGAAAACAGGTAGCTATTCTTGTTAAATTATTATTCTTACTTTAGAAAAGAAAACTTCACACATTTTTCCTCAGATCTATTTAAACAAGGAAGACCAAGCAACTGCAGGAAAAATATGGGCATTATGCTTTATGAAAATACTTACCTAAACTTTTTGCCTCATATTTGATCTTAAATCCTTGCCCTCCATTACTAGCATCAGAAATAAACTGAACAAACATTTGATTATCTGAGGTGAACAGAGTGGAGGAAGGATGACTGCCACAAAAATGACCATTTCCTCCATGGAGTCCCAAGGGTGGAGAATAGATATCAGGTCCATTTTTCAGCTAGGAACACAAATTAAAATTGCATAAATTCCTTCATATTGAGAGAGATGGAGTGCCCAAGTCCTATCAATTCATGTCCCAGGAGAGAAGAATCACCATTTTGTTTTTTGAACGAAGACTGCAAAGATAATAATCAGAAAAGGTAGCAAGCATGACCTACCACCAAGTAGTCCCCCTGACTGCAAGAAGAATCTCCATTTGGAATCTGGAAGGGCTGTTCAAAATGGACAGCAATGGTCAGACCACTCTGAACCAAAACGTGCCAAGAGCAATTGAGGTTGGGACTGTAGGTCTCCGGATACTGAGGGGATGTGATAATCCCTCTGTCTGCATGCAAATATCCACCACAACCTTTCCAAGAAGAAACAAAGGTAATTTATTTAAGTGACATTTACAATGGGATTTTTATGCTTTCCTGTTTTTCTTGATTTTTTTAAAGTGTAGGCAATAGAAATGTGGTTTGAAACTAACTGGGACCAAAGTATAAGAAATGATTAGCCTAACAACCATTTGTTGAGCACAGATGACGGGGTACTCATTTTGCGGTTTCTCCTAAGATCAGGATACAGAAATAAGCAACAGAGACAAATTACTTTCAGAAGCTTACTTTATAGATGAGTAAGACATACAATAAACCCATATATAATATGTGGGATGGGGATAAACTGTACAAAGAAAAGTTAATAGGGGGAGGGAGAATGGCATAGTATTGTCTGGGGAAGTTAGAGAAGGCTACGGTGTTACGGTATCACCTGAACAGAGACCTGAAGAAATGAGGGATCAAGCCATACGGCTTTGTGAGAGAAGAGGGTTCCAGTTCAGAAAACACTTGGTGTAAAGGCTTGAGTGGTACATCATGTAAGTCAGAATTAATGAGACAACAGTGAGTGATCCCAAAGAAAGCAGGGCTAGGTCATTCAGGAAACTGAAAGGACTTATTTTAAGTAAGATAGGAAGAAATTCAAGGGTTTTGAGCATCAGAATGGCACGACCTGACTTACATTTTAAAAGCATCGCTCTGTCTGCGATACTTAGACTGTAAGGGGGGCAGGCAGGGAAACGCACAGGCAGGGTGTCCAATAAGGAGATGACTTCCTGAGTCCAAGGAGAGATGATAGATAGGACCTGGACTAGGGTGGTAGCAGGGAGAAAGGTGGGAAGTGGCTGGGCTCTAGGTATATTGGGAAGGTAGAATCATTGTGATCTGTTGATGGTTAGGACGCAGGGTGAGAGAAAGAGAAGGATCAAGAATGACGTCAAGATTTTTGGCTTAAGCAACTAGAAAGAATGTACTTTCCATTTATCAAGATGGTGAAGAGTGTGGAATGAGCAGGTTTGGAGGGTGGAAGGGGGTGGGAAAGCAAGAGTTCAGGCTTCACATGTTAAATTGGAAATACCTTCCAGACATGCAGCCGTCCAGCATGTGGGTGTGCACGTGCACACACACACTTATGTACATTTATACGTGCACACGTATATCTGTCAGACACATGAACAGGAGAGAGAGAGAGGTTGGAAGAGGAAGAAGAGAGTGGATGGAGGGAGCAGGCATTAATTTGCCCATTGTCAGGGGCTGAGCAACTCAACGAGGGAGTGCAGCGAGTTCACACAACCACTTAAATCACAGGTGGAAATTTATCATAAGTCTAATTTCAAAGCCCATTCTCTTACACCACTATGCAGCCTGCTTCCCTGAGTGTGAAGAAGATAATTTATCTTCCATTGCTCCCTACTCTGTAAAGGACATATATAACAGTGCAGGAAAATACTAGATAAATTTTTAATGTCTATATCGAGAGTCTACTTTAAAATTATGTTTTTTGGTTAAAAGCATGAGCATCTTTCAATATTCCATATTTCATGGACTACTTCTTTAATTTTAATCTTGTTTGGCTTTAAACTTATTATTGGACTTCCCATTTTACCAAGTTTTGAAAGTCTCGATCATACTGCACATGATCGCCACCCATGTATTGTGCACATTCTCTGACTCATCAAACTTATATTCCAAGAGAAAAAAATTCTTCTGGCCAATCCTCCAATGAGTTGTTTAAACCAAGAGCTTTCTGAAGATATCTTGCTTTCCTTTGGCTATTTCTTAGACTGAAGATTACTCTGATTTATTTTTCCTTCGATGTGTTATGGATAAGTGCTGTCTAGTTCTGTTCTAGCTGAAGCCCTCGGCTAGGCTGAAAATTGTTTTAAAGATCTCATTCTTGGGCCTACCAGAACACGCCTCCTTTTTTTGGACGGGGGGAGGGGAAGATGTCCCACCCAGAGACCTGAAGGCAGGGGATCCTTATGTACCACTCGGCCACTGTTTTTTGGATCAGACTCAGTAGCTGACATAGGATAGCCATCCAGAGGCTGGGCAGAGAACCACGTGAAAAATAAGCAGAGTATGTTAGAGAAAGAGAGAGAGAGATGATGAGGTGAGATGACATGACATGACACACAAAAAAACGAGCATATTACTTTTGTGAAAGGATGCATTGAAGCCCGCTCCAGTTACACTGAAGTCCGAGGTGAGCCGGATGAACATGTACTCTCCAGTGGACCGGATGGGTCCAGGGATCTCTCTGCCACAGAGAACTGCTAGCTGCGGGGCCAGGTTACTGTCTCCTACGCCAAAGAAAGGAAATGTCAGCGGCAGAATGCGGTGTCTTCAGAATCTCCTCCAGCATCCTTTGCAACCCAGACAAAGCAGCTCACACATTTTTCTCAGAACATCACCCATCCTAGGAGATCATGAGGTTCTCAAATAAAAGGATACTCCAGGGATTACATCATTCTGGCTTCAGCTCCTAATCGTGCTGCCTACCTTTTGCTTTACCCTTTATGTTAAAATCTCCTTTGACAGTTCCCACCGTCTTTCTAAAAACTGGATGACAGTTCTCCCTGGCACTAAAACTCAAAATCAGGGTACATGGAGGTTGGGAAATTATGGAGGAGTAGTGCTGTAATGTATGTTAGAGACTCAGCTAAATCACTGATGGCTGAAGGTCAAGTATGTAAAAGAGAACTTCAGCCTCAGATCTTATACTAATGTTGTAAAGTCATTTGCCAAGAGGTGTGCTACATTTATATGACCCTCTCTTCAGCTCCAGAGGGTTTTTTAGTTGTGACTGTGTTTTTGTGGGTTTTTTAAACTTTCCATTTGTTTGATGTGGTTTATTCCTTTTGGTATTAAAAGAACACACTTATGTCCACCTGTGTGGAGGATGAAAAAAGACCATTTCAGCAAGTGTGCCCTCCAGGGAGAAAAGCAAAGGACAACTGGGTCACCTCATGGTTCTTTTTCCTTTTTACTACTCTTGGATATAAGCAACTTGGAACAAAGCCACAATCAAAGCCAGAGTGGAGCAAAGGAAATTATAAAATATTTGGATTCCTTGGCTGGGAAAATACATGGTTTTCTTCTCCCTCTAAGGAAAATAATTAATAAACTTCAAGCTATTCTAAAAATAGAATATGAGACATGAGGAAATTTGACCCTTTAACGCAATCAGCAAAATGAATCCCTTTGATATTGATCACCATCTAAAACTCACTCATTGTTAATTACTTCAGAAAACAGGGTATTGTCTGGGATTACAAATGCAATGGCATAGCTATATGGAGGAGACGCCTGAAAGGTATTCTTTGCAGGGTTTCTGACCTCTGGAAATTTTTGTGTTTTTTACAATTCAAAAGTTTCTCTCTATAACTCCTTTTGCACTTGCTATCTTCACTGTAATATTTTGCTATACATTTTGCCCCAAATTGTTTTTGTTGACTTATTCTCTGTCTATATCACAAAATGTTGAAGTTTATTGTACGTTGTTATTTATATCATAGGTGCATATTTTCTCTCTCAGTGAGACGGGGTAGGGTCTACTGATTTTTCTTTTCTGAACTTCACCTCAGATTGTCTGATGAAACAATGCTTATCTCTAAATAATTACTTATTGGTTGCCTAACTGATGAGTTGGTAGATAACCCAATAACCATATGATGGTTTGTTTCTCCCCCCAGTATCCATAGTAAATACTGAGGTATTTCTAGAACCTTCTACAACTTTACCATATGGATTGTGGCAGGGATGAACCTGATTTTTAAAGAGAGGGGGAAAATCAAAGGTAAAGAACCAGGGCTACAGGGTAGTCTGGTGATTCTCTTTCTACTCGAGACTCCTCATTTTAGAGATGTGGAAACCGAGGCCAAGATTACCAATAGCTGACATTTATCAAGCAATTATTATTACTACTTTGAGTGCTTTACATGTAATATCAAACTGTATCTTCACAATAACACTATTAGGTAGGTATTTTTATTATCTCAATTTTGTAAACAGGAAACAGTCTTAGGAAAGATATATTATTTGCCCAAGGGCACAGAGTACAGAAGTCAACAGGGATTTAAAACACTCGCTAAATAACTCCAGATGCTCAAACTATGCTATGAGATTTCTCTAGGATCACAAAGGAAGTACATTTTATATCTATAAATAATAGAAGGGTTACTGATTTTTGACAAAATTATTTTTTTGCCTTCCCCCCCTTCTTCTGTTTTTTTTCCCCCCCCTAGGGCCGATGTAGTTTCACAGAACCTCAATTTGGGGGAATCTTAGGTATGTAAAATTTGTTGGTACATGGTCTGGAAAAAATGGATTCAGTCTTGAATCATCACAATCCTGTAAAAAAATGAATAAGCAGGTAAGAGAGTGCCTCAGGTCTCCCAGGAAGGTGCAGGGCCCTCTCTGAGGCGGCCCAGGAATGTCCACAGCCTGCTTAGGACCAAGGGTCACAGGCTGAAGGCCTGTGATGACTGGTCAATGGCACAAGTGGCCTCTAAGTATTACTGCTTGTGGTCAATTGGCTTTAGATATTTGCTTCAGAATGTGATATGCCACTGCTACTCAGAAGCAAAAAAACCCTGTCTGAATGAAGAATGAACAATCGGAGTGGGGCCTGAAATTTCATTCTAAATGTAGACTAAACACTGTGCAAATGAACAAAATACCCACCAACCGCTACAGTCGGCACTCAATAGCTACTTCTTGAATGAGTAAAGAAACATATGAGGAACTAATGAGCCTATTCAGTACCTACTCATGTTGTGAATAAAAATCTCTTCCGATAGGTCACACTCTAATTTAAAACACTGTCATTGTTTTGGCATATAAGTCAACTTGCTGAGCTCCCAAGCTCTATGTCTCAGTAAGAACACTTCCAGTCTATAAAGAGTTTATGATGAAACCTATTTTAAAAATATCTCTAGCAAAGTAAATTGAAATCTAAATTAAACAATTCTGAATTCCACATCTATAAAATGCCAGGACTTTTGCTCGGGAATTTTGCATGTATTATGTTCCCTGATATAACAATTCCAAGAAGTAGATATTGGTCTCTCTTTCACAGACAATAAAGCAGACTTGGAGACATTTAGTATTTTGTGCAAGGTCACACAGATGAAGAAGAAAACAACTCCCAGGCTTCAGGCTTCTAAGAAAAATTATTGGTGAAACAAAAAGCAACTCAATAGAAAGTGAATGTTAAAAGAGTAACCATAATTTACTTCATTACTAGAGTTACCTACTGAAGATATTTTTTTAAAGTTTCTACCAGATTCTGAACACTCAGAATATGTGTGCAAGGACACACTCATTTCATTACGTGAAAAGTTTTAAATTTTAACATCCACAGGAATGCCTTGATGTGAGAAAAGATGGTAATTTCTCTGGGCAATGTGCTAATAGCTGATGGTTGATAGGAAAAGGGGGGAAAGTTAAGATTTATCATCTCATCTCATTTGTATGTTTGATTTGAGTCTTGGTGCCCAGCCTCAACAGAAGGAAAATAAAGCCCTTCTGCCATTTCCTAACTGTACTTCATGAAAGTCTAGGGTTGAGGGGATTAGGGAGACAAGAGCTTGCATACGAGTAACCTCTGGGCAAAAAACAAACACATGTTTGGTCCACAATATGCTCTGAAGCATTTTTCATTAATTTCCAAAATCTAACAATTGGGAAATTCATAGAAAATTCTGTATCTTTCATATCTCTTAGAAGACAGGAAGCTAAATAACACTGAGCCTGCCTTCTTAGAAGCTGCTCCTTTGAGGCTGTTCTCCAGTTTAACACTTCCCTAGTTATGTTCCCTGTTGTCTAGGTAGGCATGTGAGGTCTTAATGTCTTTAACATGGCAGGTAGTGGTTCTCAAACTTTAGAGACTATCAGTATCATCTGGAGGCAGGGACAAGGGTCAGGCAAGTGAAGTACTCGCATCACGGGCAACATTCAGGGAGGGGCCAAAGACCTTAGAAATCAAGATAAGTCATATTTTAGTGCAATATTTTAAAAATTAAAATTTAATGTAAAATGGTCAAAATACCAAAATTTTAAACCAAGGTAGAATCTGACCCTGCAGTTTGCGCAATCCTGCCTTATTTTCCTCACCCTAAACACGGCCCGCCTGGAAGGCTTTTTAAATCACAGATCTAGGACCCATCCGGAGAGTTTCTACTTTAGTAGGTCTGGGGTGTGGCTGAAAGATTTGCATTTCTAACAAGTTCCCTGGTGACACTGATTCTGCGGGGCCCGGGTCTGGGGACCACACTGTGAGAAACACTGATCAGAGGATGGGGCTTTCCTCTTCTCCAGCCATGTGAATTGTGAAGCACAATTTTGTACATGTTGCATCTTAGTATTATGCTGCTAATTGCAATCCAACACCACACCTGTGCATAGAGGAAAAGATCAAAAATGTTAGCCCTTAATTCTGACTATTCTACCCAAAGATTCAGTAGACAAAGAGAATTGAATATATTGCAATTATATACGCTTTTTCACACTTGGATCTGAAAGCCATAGGTCTAAAATATCAAAATTTATCTCCAAGGCCTTTCATCAAGAAAGCAGCACCACCTGGAAACTCAGACCATTACTTCCTACTTAAGCTAAAGGCAGGGCTTTTTCTTAGAAATGTAATGCTGTCCCTGACATAGTATGTGCATTCGTTTGTTACAGAACATTTAATACTTTCCTTACATTCTTTAGAAATTGTAGCCAACTCTGGTGCCTTTGTTGACCATGATATCTGGGAACTTCCATATAAAACAGATGGAGACAGCGAACAAGTATTATCATAATTGAATGTAACTAAATATGTGTGAGGGCTGAAACTTGGCCGTTTTTTGTTTTGTTTAAATGTTTCTCACCATCTCTTATGACAAGTTTGTCATAGTCACAAGTTCTGTGAGCTTCGATGTCCAGGGAAAGGATGTTAAGTTCCACAGTAGAATCTGGAGCCTGAATAAGCCACATGCAGTCAACATTGTTACTGTAGCTTTCAGGCCAGCCTGGGGAGAAGAGAAAGACCGGCGCATCTCCTGTCCTCAGGAAGCCACCACAAGCACCTGTTGAAGAAAAAATAACACCTATGAAATACCTCCCATGGGAGAGAATGTAGCACGTTCATTTTAAAGTGGCGGCCCTGAACCTAGAGGAAACAACTAATTAAAACAGAGTTCTCAAAGAAATCTAGAAATATTTTCTTAAACCTGCTGACTCACACAGCTGTGATTTCCCTTAATTTTTTGTGTAAGAAAAACACACTTTATTCTGCTTTTCTCACCATAGTTTTGCCACACATCCCATTTATTGATTAGTGTCTGTTATTTGTTGAGTATGAAGTTAGTTCATGTAGAAGACCCTATTATGATTCTATTGTTACTATTATTTATGTATCCTTTGGACTTCAATCTTCACTTTTTCAGCATAGCTATTCACCATGTAATTTATATCTGGGCAGCCTTGAAATAATTTTCAATTTGGTGAAATGTATAACAACAGCTTTTATTTCTGACTCAGTTTGTTTAAAATTAGTTTTATTGAACTATTCTGTAGATCTCATAAAACTTACCCTTTTAAAATATACAATTCAGTGGGTTTTAGTATATTCACAAAGTTCTGTAACCATCATTGATCATTTTAGAACACCTTCACCATTCCAAAAGACATTTCAAACCCATTAACACTGATAGCTTGCCTGTTTTCCAGTCTAGCAGTCCATGGGAACCACTAATTGGCTTTCTGCCTCTGTCTATGGATTTGTCTGTTCTTGACATTTCATGTATATATATTCATACAATATGTGATTAGCTTTTGTGGTGAGCTTCATTCACTTAGCATCATGTTTTAAGGTTCATCTGTATTGCAGCAGGCATCACATCAGTATTTCCTTCATTTTCCTTCATTCGCTCATTTCCTTTTTTAAGGCTGACTATTACTCCACTGTGTGGATATACCACATTAAGTTTTATCAGCTGTTAGACATTTGAGTTGTTTCTGCTTTTTTCATTATTATGAATAATGCATCTATGGACATTCAGTGTATAAATTTTTGTGTGGACATATGTTTTCAATGCCATTAGGTATATGACTAGGAATTTAATTGCTGGATCATATGGTAACCCTGTGTTTCCATTTTTGAGGAACTGCTAAACTGTTTTACAAAATGGTTATATCTTTTTATATTTTTACCAGCAATACACAGGGTTCCAATTTCTCCACATCCTTGCCAACACTTGTTATTGTTTGTCTTATTGATTATAACCATCCTAGTGAGTGTTAAATATATGTCTTCTAGTATACCACTTTAATTCACTTGTTCTTCTTTTTACTATATATTTTTTAAGTTATCTTCTCAGTGGTTGTCTAGGGATTACAATTAGCCTTTTAATTTGAATCAGTGTAGTTTGGATTAATATTAATTTAGTAGTTTGAATAGTATATAAAACTTTGCTCAAATATAATTCCATTCCAACCCTCCCATCTTTTGATGCTATTATTGTCATAAAAATTATATATTTAAACATTACAAACCCATCAACATAGTTTTATAGTCATTGCTTAATGTCTTTAAATCAGACAGAAGAAAAAATCTACAAACAAAAGTACATTTATAACATCTTCATATTTACTTATGTCGTTATTTTACTGTTTAGTAGTAGTGAAAACATGCTATAGTACTTTCATTTCAGCCTGAAGGCCTCCCACTAGAATTTCTTGTATAGTAGATCTGCTAGCAATAAATTCTCTGAATTTTCAATTTATCTGGGAGTGTTTTAATTTCTCCTTAGTTTGGAGGATACATTTGATAGATAAGGATTTTTAATCAACAGTCTTTTTATTTCAGCACTTTGAATATGTCATTCCACTGCCTTCTGGCCTTCATGGTCTTTGATGAGAAGGGAGGTAGTAATCTCATTGAGGACTCCTTTTATATGATAGGTCACTTTCTCTTGGTCTTTTGAAGATGATCACTTTTTCTCCAGCTTTGATATTCTGTGATGTGTCTAGGTGTGGATTTCAGTGAGTTTATCCTATTTGGAATTTACTGAACTTCTTGGATGTTGGAGATTGGATGTGTAGATTAATATTTTTTATCAAACTTGGGAAGTATTCCGACACTATTTCTTCAAATATTCTTTGTTCCGCTTTCTCTCCCTCTTCTTCGGGATTCTCATTGTACATATGTTAGTATAACTGATAGTTTTTGTGGTTCTGTACAGTTTTTTCAGTCTTTTTCTTTCTTTCTAGCAGACAGGCTAATCTCAATTGATCTATCTTCAAGTTCACTGATTCATTCTTCTGCCTGCTCAAATCTGTCCTTGAGCCTCCCCAGGGATTCTTTTTTTTTTTTTCCCAATTATGATACATTTCAACTCTAGAATTTCTAATTGGTTGGGTTTTTTTCTTTTAATAATTTCTATCACTTTATTGATATTTTCTATTTGGTGATACATTATTCCCATATTTTCCTTTAATTATTTAGACATGATTCCTTTTAACTTTTTAACATATTTATGATAGCTAATTCAAAATCTATGTGTGTTGGAATATGTCTTTAAGGCTCTAGCAGGCAGTTTACAACTCTGCCTTAGACTTTGTTTCCTGCTTACACAGATCCTCAAGATCATATCGAGGTCAGAGTTTAGGGCTCTCTTGTGTCTTTTCTTGGACATGTGCACAGCTCTGCGTGTGTGTGTGGCTTTCTAGATTCCCAGATGTATGTCAGAGTTTTCCAAAGATCCCTATGAATATCTCATTCCCCAGGTTTTCCTTTTACAGTTTTATTCAGTCTCTTGTTAGCTGCAGCTGGTATCACTGCCACATGCAATTGTGATGTTAAACAATTGCCACTGATTGTTTTCCACAAACACACTGGGGATAGAGCTATTGGCACTGAGCAACCTCTGAGGCAGGTCAAATGAAGACAAGTCCTGAGAATGCAGCTCTCCTAGGAAGTTGCCAGATAGGTCAGATAATGGTAATTCCTAGGGAATAGGGTGTTTTCTATAGCTCCAAACCTGTTCTATCCCTTCCAATAGTTGCTAGGCTGCTGGTTTTCACAACTACCATAGTTGTGAGGATACTGAAAGGCAACTACAAAGCTGAGGCAAGGGGAGAGATGGAAATAGGGAGAATTAAGATGCCAGAAAGTTGACTCTTTCACTGAGATTTAGCCATCATCCTTGAATAAACACTCTTTAGACTGTAGCAAGTTTTGATTAATTTCCAGAGTTCTCAAAAGTTGATTTTGACAATGTTCTCATTGTTTTTACATAGGAATGGATTTTCAGAGATCCTTACTCCACCATTCCAGAGGTTTATTACTTTTATATCAGTACATGTTTGAATCTTACTAGGACCACCAGGAAGTGAGTGTAAAATTTTACAGGACTATGTCCTAATTCCTTTATCCTATTACTACATAGGCTACAGAAGTAAAGAAAAAAGAGACAAATGAGAGCAATTTTCAAGTGAAAGAGCTGAATATTACTCAGTGTCTTCAAATGTTAAGATTTTCCTTTATGTGAAATATTTCTTATCTTGAATTTATAAAAGGCAGTTGTCACACTAACAATGGGTCATTAGTCTTTTTGGTCAAATATTCATTTATCCTCATTTCCAAACACATGGTGAAATTACACATCCTGATACTTTTGTGGTTGAATGAGGTCATTTGACCAGTTTGAGCCAATGACTTACGAGCAAAATGACTTGTGTCACTTTTAAGATGAGCACTTTTACACTGAGATATGCCAGGGCTCTCTGTCCTCCTGCCATGATCACAGTCAATGCCCCAGACAATGTCAGGTCTGTGTTATGGAATGATACTGATGACAAGGCACCTAGTTAATCTAAAAGGGATGTTTCTCACAAACCAGAAAGATACTATTGTTTTTCAGCAACTCAGAGTTTGGAATCATTTGTTACTGCAACATAACTGAACATGTCCTGACTGATATGCCGACTAACATTTTCCTACTCAACAGGTTTAATTTCCTTCAGATGATCCTAGGTCACATTAAGCTCAGTTTCCTTTGCTTGCTTTTCTTCTGCCTATACCACCTGCTTTGTCATTAAATAATTTAATTACTATATTGTTATTTAACAGACATATGAATACTTTGTTTTTCCCAATTATTTTTAAGCTCCTGGAGAGTTGAGATCATATCTTTGTTTCTTTACTTAGTCATCTTGGTATATCTATAACAAATCCTCAATAAATGTTTATTGAATTAAACTAAACCTATGTATGTGTAAGAAATGCTGATGGTACAATGTTCAATATATTAATACATTTTAAAATGTTAAGGTTTTTTTTTAGTTTTAATGAATCTTTCAGAATGTTCTAGATACCTAGTAAATTATAAAATTCTCTTTTCACTTTCCTTTTCCCCTGTTCTTTTTTTTTTTTTAAAGATTTTATTTATTTATTTGACAGACAGAGACGCAGTGAAAGAGGGAACACAAGCAGGGGGAGTGGGAGAGAGAGAAGCAGGCTTCCCACGGAGCGGGGAGCCTGATGCAGGGCTCGATCCCAGGACCCTGGGATCATGACCTGAGCCGAAGGCAGATGCTTAACAACTGAGCCACCCAAGCGCCCCTCCTTTTCCCCTGTTCTTGACTGAGGAAAATGAGATTTATGATACTGTATTTGCTTATCCACTTAAATCATATAATTACAGAGCATAAGTATGAGAAGAAAATTTTTCATTTTTTGAGTACTAAATTATATTTGTTTATATAATATTTTGCATGAATAAGTGATTCCTTTTCTAACTTGAGATTTGTGGATACAAAAAAACCTTAGCTCAAGTTTACTTATGAGAGCTTTCCAGAATTAAATGGATAGCTCTAAATTACATTTGGCAATCTTGTTGATGGTTCTTTGCTCTTAGATAAGTAGATTAATATTTTTGGAAAGAAATTCATATTTAATATTATGGTAGCATCTTGTAAGGGAGGTGACAATAACATCTCAGAACAGAATACTCTAGGGGCATTAAATAAAAACAAGTATGAATTATACCTTTATAATTTTTCTCTGCCAATACAAATTCCCAAGAAGCTAGAAAAAAATAGACTCTAATCTTTTAGGATCTGTGTAGTCTTAGAACAAGTTCAAAGTTTGAATATTCTTCAATGAGAACCTATGGTAACGTGTCTCAATCAGGTATAGTTGATTGTGGATGAGAGGTTTAGGGGTGCCAACCATGTAACTTTTTTTAAAGTAGGCTACATGCCCAATGTGGACTTGAGCTCATGGCCCTGAGATTAAGAGCCATGTACTCTACCAACTGAGCCAGCCAGGCACCCCAAAAATCCATGTAACTTTTGACTCCCCAAGAACTTAATTACTAATAGCCTACTGTTGACCAGAAGTTTTACTGATGACATAAATAGTCAATTAACACATATTTTGTATGTTATGTGTATTATATGCTGTATTCTTACAATAAATAAGCTAGAGAAAAGAAAATGTTAAGAAAATCACAAGAAAGAGAAAACACATTTACAGCCCTGGACGACTGTGTTTATTGAAAAAAATTCTCATATAAGTGGATTTTTTTAATCCCATGCAGTTTTAAACCTGTGTTGTTTAAGGGTCAACTCTATACCAAGGACTGACAATATCCTCCAAGAAATGTCTGTCAAACCTTTATGTCACCCCATAAAAGCCATTCAAAATTGTTTAAACAAATTATTAAGGAAAAATTAGTCTCCCCAAACACTGCTTACTGAGGGGATTAAGGAGGTCTTAAACATAGTAAAATAAAACTTTAACAATTAGGCTAATTTTACCATGAAACATTAAGGTTTGCAACCAACTAAGGAGAAAGTGAAGCATTTCTAAAAGTACATTTAAAATGAAATATAGAGGAAACACAGTTACTTCTCCCTACTAGTTGATCCATAATGTTGTATGTGTGTTTTTGTATGTGTGTGAGCATGCACAGTATTTACAAATCAAATTTTCAGAGATATCTAAAGGGATCTCTAGAAATTATAAGTAGGAGCATCTGGCTGGCTCAGTCGGTTAAGCATCTGACTCTTGATTTCGGTTCAGGTCATGATCTCAGGGTCGGGAGATCCAGCCCTGCATCTGACTCCATGCTGAGTATATTGGGCTCAGCACTGAGTGTGGAGCCTGCTTAAGATTCTCCCTCTCCCTCTGCCCCTCCAACCCCCTTGTGTGCCCTCTCTATCTAAAAGAAAGAAAGAAAGACAGAAAGAAAGAAAGAAAAATTATAAATAGAATGCCTCATGGATATCAAATCCTTAATTAAAATAAAAACATATAATGGGAAACCAACATTTTTAAAAAGCAAATGTACGGTTTTTACAAAATGCAGTATTTATGAAATTAAGAGAACACCTGAACATACGGAGGAAGGGCTTTAGGGCTGTACTTACTTTTCTTAGTCATTTATGTATTTGGCTTCTGTTGTGGTAAGACCCTTTGAACGACTAGCCCAAACATATCAGCCCCTAAGCAGAATTTCGTTTATTACCAAACACACCTGTAGCAATAGTAGGTAAAGGTCCAACAGAGACATTCACGGCAAACCACTCCAGAAGGAATCCTTTCCCTGTGACTGAAGAGTCGGAAGAAAACTGAAATGTCAAAGAATTTCTAGAGGAGCTAAAAGTTGTGGTCTGGGTACCACAATAAGTTCCAATTAGGCGGGAATGAACACCATGGCCATCATAAATCTGCATGTAAAAGAAAAAAAAAGAAAGAAAGAAAAACTGATAATAGAGCACTGAATTTAGGAAATTACCTCTATTTTTCTTCATAAAAAAGAAAATTGAAAGGTTGCCTTATGTTATTATAATTTCATCATAATAGGAAAAAAATAAGTAAACATTTTATGTATCAGTCCAAATAGGAAGCACCATTAAATATAAAATATGATTACAAAAATTTAAGGTGTTTTAAAATAATTTTATCTTTGCTGCAGAATTGTGTTAATACACAAGCTCTATGCGATATAGCTCGTTATTTGATTTACAGTAAAATTTGGGGTGGAAAAGTAGGAACCGAGATGGTTGCACAACAATAGATCTTACTGAATGCTTTGGGGCCTCAAAGGAAGGAATTAGAAAGAAAGGGAGAAAACAAGAAGAAAGAGGAAAGGTTTAATGAAAGTGGACAGATAACTGAAAGCAGAATTAATGACAACAAAAGAATCACAGCTTACAAGGGATCAACACATTCAAAGCACTCAATAAATTTTATTCATTTGGTTTAAAATATTAAATTATGTATACAGAGACACATTTTGATCATTACTAACACATAGCATGGAGCACATTTTTTTTTCAGCACATGTGGATGAATGTTATCCAACCACATTTCCTATCCTTTCCTTCATCTTCTAAATAATTTGGAACAAGTTCATTAAAATTGTTATAGATTTCTCTACTGAAGCTACTATATAAGCTAAGTTTTTCAGTCTACATAATAATGATTTCCACACATACTATGCATCTCTTAGGTACTGAATTCTATGTGAGACACTGTAGACCCAAGATGAATATGACAGAATCCTGCCTTTTGAGAATCTGATAAAATTGTTGAACTCATAGAAGGAGAAAGTAGAATGATGGTTGCAGGGGATGGGGAGAGAGGGAAATAAGGAGATGATGGTCAAGGTTACAAAGTTTCAGTGATGCAAGATGAATAATTCTGGAGCTCTAATGTGCAGCAATGTGACTATAGCTAATACTGTAATATGTAATACTGTCTGTATTATATACTTGAAATTTGCTAAGAGGGTAAATCGTAAATATTCTTACCACACACACAACACACACACACACACACACACACACACACAAAATTCAAATGATAACCATGCAAGGTGGCAGATATATTAATTAGCTTGATTTTGGTGATTATTTCACAATGTATACATATATTGCAACATCAAGTTGTACATCTTATATATACACACAATACTTATTTGTCAAATATACCTGAATAAGGCTAAAAAAAAAAAGAATGTGATAGTGTTTCTGAAATTGATGCAATGACCAATGTCTGGATGGCAATAACCACCACAATTATTTATTCATTTATTTTAAAATGATCCTTCAAACTTTTAACACTCTAACATAAGAATACACAAGAGAATGGGATATAAGGTAGAATAAATACTTAATAAATATTTAAGATATACACACATGCATAGACAAAGCCCAATAGGTAAATTACAATGATGCTAAAACAAACTTAGATATAGAATCCAAAGATAATAAATCTAATACCAGAATTACCTTTTCATCAGTAACCTAGACAGGGCAGTCATGATTTAGGGAAGACCATTTCGTGTGATTTACAAATGCTTGAATAGACAGTAACTTGGGTTTATTTTTGCAAATAGAAATTCGCCAAAATTTATAAACATTGATTGTAGTTAGAAACTCACCCTTAATTTGTCATAATAGCAGCCAGGTGCTGCTTCAATGTCTATCTCCAAGATTCTACCATGGATAACTTGAGATGCATTCACATTTACTATCCATTGGTAATTGGAGTTGTGGGGGTAACGTCCAGGCCATAAGGGAGAGGCAACTTTCCCATGAGTTCCCACAATATTATCATTGCCAAATACTAGGAGGAAAAACAGAGTAGTAAATCAGATGTACTTAGAACAGCTCTTTAATCAAATGAAAGAAACAAAAGGCAAGGGGTGTTGAAAAGGATAGACTTTTAATTGACTGTGATTTCTATTCTGAACACTGAAAGAAATATTGCTTCCCTTTTGGTTTCTGTACTATCTATTAATTCCTTGGAGAACAGTGATTTTGTGAATGGAATTCCATCTCCTAAGAAGGTTGCATGGTGTGAAAAGAGGAGATAACTTCCCATGTGAAAAGGGGTTCCCAGCCCCCAGGGGACTTGAGGACATACGAAGGGGTATTACCAGGCTCCTTCTCTAATTTTTACCTATTTTACTTTTTTTTTTTTTAACAAAAGATTGGGACATGTTTTTAAAAATTTGATAAGGGAAATTGACATATTGGAACCACATGAAGAATAGCTAGTTATGGAAAAGTCAAGTTAGAAAATAAAAATATTTCATGTTTTATTCTTTTTTTTTCTTTT